GAGGCTTTCTTTACTCCCGTAAAGATTTACACCCTCGGAAACCCTGTACAGGGTTGCTATGGGTCGGAACCGACTCGACGGCACTTAACAACAACAACATACTGGGTCATGAGGAGTTGGAAGTGACTCAACAGTACTTTACAAAAAGGAGCCCTGGTGATGCCATGGGTTAAGCATTGAACTACTAACCAAAAGGTTGGCAGTTCTAACCTACCAACCAATTTTAGGAGAAAGATAAGGCAGTCCACTTCTGTAAAGATTGACAGCCTCTAAAACCCAACAGGAACAGTTCTATGCCACCCTACAGGGTGACTATGAGTTGGAATTGACTCGATGGCAGTGGTTGTGTGTGACAAGCAGTGCTGCTCAGTCCTCTTGCTTGAGGACTAGATAGTGTGGATCTTGAGAGCATGCGCACAAGGCTGTATCCACCTGACCATACAAAAGGCTTGGAGTCCTGGTGCTGCACTGTTGCATAAGCACTGGGCCACAAGGTCGGCAGTTCAAATCCACCAGCCGCTCCTCCACGGAAACTCCATACAGGGTTGCTATGAGTTGGTCAGAAACGATTCAACAGCAACAAATACAAAAGGTAAGATTCCCTGCTAATGAATTGCCTTTGATGTGCACTGCGGTCAGATCAAACGCTTATTCAATAAGCAAACTTTTTCCTTTCTCTACTCCTTTGGTGGGGAGCTTTCCTGGGTTGGTAATCAAACAGTTGTGGTTGAATCAGTTCTAACTCCTGGTGCCCCCGTGTGTGTCAGACTAGAACTGTGCTCCACACAGTTTTCAATGGCTACCATCTTTTAGAAGTAGAACACCAGGTCTTCCTTCCAAGGCACTTCTGGGGAGACTAGAACCTCCAACCCAGGCAGACATATTGGGAAACCAGCTTTGATAGGTTTCCTTCACAAATACACACCTGCTGACATCTGAGTTTTCTGACAGGGTGTATGGCTTCCTCTTGGTACCTACTTCCCCTGGCTGCACGAACGTTTAACTGATTGTTCGGTATCTTGGCTTTTAAAACTTCAAATTGTAGCAACTCTAGAAAAATCTGCTAAAATGTCCCTTGAGAACTGGACCAAGGGGAGGGGGTGAGCAGAGGGCATGAAAAGAGCCTGTGGGTAGGGTAATTAAGAAACCCTTTTTAGTGCCTTCCCAAATTCTGTTTTGAGATGTTTCAAAGTGCAACAAGTAGAAAGTTAAAGCACTTTGGTGGACACATGCAGAGATGGAAATTAACCAGAAGACTTCAGGGCTTGTAGGTTCCTAAGCCCTGATTTCTTTCAAGGAAACAAAACCGAAACAGCTTTCTTTCATAAATAGTCCAACAGTCCACATCCAGCAGTTCAGTAGGGGCATTCCTGTTGTACATCGCTGCCTTGTGCTAACCCCGACATGTGACCTTCAGGGCCTGGGCCCAACATGACTGACAGAGCAGGGGACCTTGCCCTTGTTGGTGCCTGATTGGGAAATAGCCCTTCCCTACCCCCAGCATTCTGAACACTCCCACAAGTTAAAGTCCACCCGCAGTGGTCAGGAACGGCTCATGTGGTACCCTGGGCTCCAATCTGCGAGTATGTCCTCAAGGCCTCTTCGGCTCCCAGCCTGACGACCCATCGGCTGGGGCTGTATTGAGTCTCCAGCTCCTATGAACAGACACAAGGCTCAACACAGATTATGTCCCTTGTCCCCCTCGCACCCCCATGGATGTCCCACTCTGCTTCCAGAAGTGCCCTCCCCAGCATTCTGGGCTCTCCACCAGCCTGGCAAAGCCCTCAGGACTCTGCCTCTACTGAGTCATTAGAAGCTTCCCATTCAACTGCAGAATGCCCAGGCAGTGCAAGGTCTTGGGTGAGAGGCTATAAATGTAGCTTCAGAAGAGAGGAGAAGGGGTGTGCTGAGAGAGGTGGGCCACACAGCACGGTCAGAGGTGTGTGGAAAGGCCAGCCTAGGAGAAGCTGAGAGTTGGAGCAAGAGCGTGGAAGGTTTTGAATGCCAGGCTAGGATGCTAGTGCTGAACCGAGAAGTACCACTGCATGAGAGTTTGGAGAAAAGGCTCCAAGTGGAAACTGGGCTGGGAAATTCAAGGAGGAGCGGGTGGGGCTCTGGAGTCACTTACTAGCTGGTTTAACCTAGACAAGACAAGTTATATACAGTCTCTTGTCTCAGTCTCTTCATCCCTGTAACGGGCATAGTAAACAGTGGCCTTAAAGAAATCAGGCGTGTAAATGACATAATGGAGTTTTGGTGTGGTGCTGTAGGATAAGCACTGTACTGTTAACCACAAGATTGGTGGTTTAAACCCACCACCTGCTCCTTGGAAACCCCATACAGGGTAGCTGTGAGTAGAAATTAACTCGATGGCACGTAACAACAAATGATAGTATGTTAGCCATTCAAATCTAAGTGGGAAACCACTTTCTCCTACAGAATGGGGTTGTTAGCCTGAACTCCATGGATCTCTACAACCTGAACCAGTCAATATGCTACGGAACATTGTTGTTGTTGGTGTTGGTGGTGGTGGTGGTGTTTAGTATCATAGAGTCAGTTCCGGCTCATAGCAACCCTGTATTAGGTGAGTCTGAACTGCCAATCTTGGGGTTCAAACCGACCTTGTGGTCAAGTGCTTATTCTACAGTGCCACACCAGGACTCCAATCTCTGGGAGTCCAGTGGGTAAGTACTCGGCTGCTAACCACAAGGTTGAGTGGGGGTTTGAACCCACCAGCAGATCCTCAGAAGAAAACACGTGGAGACCTACTCCTGGAAATACTGGAACCCATGGGGCAGTTCTACTTTGTTACATGGGGTCGCTAGGAGTAAAACTCGAAGGCTCTCAGCAACAACAAATGTGCCCACCTGCAGGGTGCTTACAACCACACCCACTGCACAGGAAGTTGTCAACAGAATCACCTCTGTTGTTTGTGACAAGGACGGTGCCATGAGTTTCCAAGTGTTCCCTGCCATTGTGTGTGTGTGTGAGAGAGAGAGAGAGACAGAGAGATTGACTACTTCCGTAGGGTAATCAGATATGCTCATGACCCGAAAAAGGAACAGGAAAAGCAGGACAAGTTAGCAAATCTTAGCCCTCACAACAACCTTCAGTGGACACCAGCCTCCCCCAGCCTCGGCCTTCCCAGCACAGACCCACACATATTGCATCATCTCAGGCATTTTAGCAAGAGTGGAGAACTTTGGCCCCAATCTTTGATAGAATAACATTCTGGCTTCCATTTTTCCTGTTCTTAAAATTATGCTAGCAAAAGCTGTTCTGCAGCCAGCAGGGAAAGAGATGGTGGTGCTGTAATTCCATAACTGACAATCACAGGAGGCTAGGATGGTTTCTAAGCTAGCTTCTTAGGACCAAACGTGTATCTATGGTATGGCTGAAATCGCAGTTCCATCCCGTTGTGAAATATCATTCAGTAATTTAGAATAGCCAGAGGGACCTTTCTGTAAATACAACTCTGCTTAGGATAAAAAACTAAGCACTGTTCTGGAGTCCAGTCCGATAGGACAGAATAAAATTGCCACATGGGGTTTTCAAGGCTGTTATCTGTCTCTCAAACAGTGGTGGATTCTGTTAGCAACTCAGCATGTTAGCAGCCCGACTACTTAGAATTCTAATCTTGTGTCTGAACGGACCTTCCCAGGCCCTGACCACGCTTCTTTACAATCCACCTACCTCTTTAGACATCTTCTTCCAGGGGGCCTCACCCCTGCGACCCGCGTGAGGCACATCCATCCCACCGACAACAAAGCGTGCGCAGCGTCCGCCCTTATAGATTTAGAGGGTGGGCTGAAGACGCCGTGGCCCCGTCCTCGCCTTTGGAGGAGTCACGTCCACCACCTATTCCGCACCAGTCCGCGCCAACCCCGCCCCTGAGTTTAGCGGAGCCCCGCCCACCTCCCTGATTCGGTGCCAGCCCGCGTCCAAGCTGTGGTCCCGCCCACCAGTCTGACGGCAGCTCCCCGCCAAAACCAAAACCCATTGCTGTGGACTCTTAGCGACCCTACTGGAGGAGTGTAGTAGTCAACTACCTCATTTTTCTCTTGCGAGCGGCTGGTGGGATCTTTAGCAGCCGAGTGTTTTAACGACTGCGTTAGCAGAGCCCCAGGTTCCGAATCCCCCAGCGCTAACGCCACTCAGGACCTGCCCCTCGTCATATCCCCGCCCACCAATCTGGCTGGCTCCCACCGATCAGGCGCCAGCTCCGCCCCTGTGCGTTAACCCCAATTTCGCCCAAGAAGGGGTCGGCTTTGGTTTGGACTCGTCAGGCTGTGATTGGCTCCCGGGAGCGCCGTTTTGCTTCCCTGATTGGCCCGGACGCCGGTAGACAGAGTAGAACCGTGCAGCGCGGGAATTTGCGGAGGTCTGAGATCCTGTGAGTCCCAGAGGCGCCATGAGCTGCATCAACCTGCCCACCGTGCTGCCGGGGTCCCCCAGCAAGACCCGCGGCCAGGTCCAGGTACAGGCTCCGGGGCGGGGGCGGACTGCGGGGCCCGGGTCCGGTGGGGTCTGACCAGCGCGCGGCTTCAGCACTCTATGGGTCCCCAAGTGACTTCTCCTTCTCTCCTAGGTGATCCTCGGACCCATGTTCTCAGGGAAAAGGTAGTAACTTTGGGGGAGCAGGGAGGGGCCGGGGACCCTCCTCCCCGGGGACCCTCTCTTCCTTGGCTGCAGCCCCTCAGCGATGAGCCCTTTAGAACAAGGACCCTTTTGAAGTTCTTGCCCCAGGGTTCCCTCCCTCCCTGGAATCCTGTCCTGAAGGAGATGGAGCCTGGAGGGCTGGGGAGCCCTCACAGGAAACCCCTGCCTCGGGGAGGCCCTAGGAGTCGGCTTGGTGGGTTCACTCTAGCCCTCTGGGTGGGACATCTTGGCCCCCGGGCGGCATTGGGCTGAAAACCTTTGGTGAAGTTAATTTTGGCTGACAGCCCGGGAGGCGGTTCTTGGATGAGATCATTTCCGGGAGGAGAGGACCCACCCTTCCACAAGGTCCTCCTGAGTTGGAAATCCCTTAATGGCTATGGATTTGCTCTCTTGGTTTGCTTCATGCCCAGCTGGAAATTCTCAGAGCCTGCTTGTAGACTGTAGGATCAACACCAGCCGCTCTGTCAGAACCCACTCAACAACAATGACAGGGTTGTTAAGGATCCCAGGTAGCACAGTGGGTTAAGCGTTGGTCTGATCACTGGGAGATCGGCGGTTCAATCCCACCGCCATTCAATTGGAGAACGATGAGGCTATCTGCTCTCTTAAAGGTTTAGCCTCTGAACCCTATGGAGCAGTTTTCCTCTTTCCCATCGTGCCACTCACTGTAAGCCAGAATCCACTCTTTCCTCCTATAAACCACCAGGGGGCAGCAGCAGCCCAGCCTATGGATGCGGGGACAGTGGCCTCATGACCCCTTTGCCCCTCTCGGTGGCCTCACGACCCCTTTGCCTCTGCAGCACGGAGCTGATGAGACGAGTCCGCCGCTTCCAGATTGCGCAGTACAAGTGTCTGGTCATCAAGTACTCCAAGGACATCCGCTACGGCACTGGCTTCTCTACACATGATCGGTCAGTCCCTGCCCCTGCCTGCCAGGCTTCTATGGACAGATTTTCCAAATTGTTTGGCAAAGTGGCCTGGGATGGGGTCTAGAGCGGAAGTCCCTAATTGGGCCATTTTTGCCCCCAGGGGAGAGGAGGTGCTAGAGTCTTCTGGTGGGTAAAGGTCAGCGATGAGGCTCAGCACTCTCCATGAACAGGAAGGACAGCCCCACAATGGAGACTTGTCCACACACACACACAACACTGCTGAGGTCGAAGCCCTGTAGATGATGCAGACTGGTTTTGTTGAGCCTGTACCTTGCCGTTTGCTTATTTTAATTTGCTTAACTTTCACAGTATCCTTGGCCTTCATATTCCCCATTATTAATCTGCCTGGGCCCAGTAGACATTTCAATCTGTGGGTTACATTCTCGTTCCCTGGCTGCCTGCTTCTTAGCAGCAGATTTGGGCCAGCTGTTTCTAAACCACCCTGGGAGGTGTCCACCTGAGCCCCCAGTGGCACGCTGAAGCATATTCAGGACTGGGGGCCATAGAGCCGGCTTCTGATTCCAGATGGAGTGGAGGGTGCCGGGACATGGAGCCTGTGCCAGGGGTGAGGCCTGGAAGCTTGCTTCCTGGCAATGCTAAGTTTGCTTCCTTTTTGCTGGAGCGCACAGGATGGGCGTGAGCAGGGAGGTCGGTAAGAGCAGGGACCCGCAACTTCTGAAGTTGCTCAGATTCCGGATTCCATACCAAGCACGGTCACATGGTGACAAGTCATCTTTGGCACGGGCTGGTAGCAGCCAGAGACGGGCTTATGGCAATGACTGAGCACTTGGCAGGTGGCTCGGCGGGTGCTGAGGTGCCCGGCTGCCTCTGGTCTCCTCTGTTTGAGGTGGGGAGGGGGAATTTAAAACGCACCAAGTACTGTTTGACACTCTTTGTTAGATTCTGAAGTCGGATTGCAATAAAATGGCAACTATACAGGAAGCAGCATTTGTAAAAATATTTTCTTTGTTTTAAAAAGAGCTACAAGGATCCCTGGTTAAGCGCTTGGCTACTAACCGGGAGGCTGGTGGTTTGAACCTCCCAGGCAGTCTGCTTCTGTGGAGATGGCAGCCTGGAAACCCGGTGGGACAGTTCTACTCTGTTCTGCAGGATCAGTATGAGTGGGAATGGAGGCCAGGGCATCTGATAACAAATACAGCTACTGAAGTCTGGGAGCTGGAGGCCAGTTTCAGACAACATTGTAGACAAATGCAAGTTGTTTGGGAAGGGCAAGGACACAGAACAGCATTCTTCACAACCCGTCCTGGCTGTGGGGGTAGATGGAGTGGACCCCCAAATGTCCTTGGAGTGGGACTAAAACATTCTCACTGTGTGCGCAGGAGTATCTGTACACATAGATCCCAGCGTGCCCTCCCCTAGGCCACAGGGTAGCAGCTAGCTCTGGGCTGCAGGCCTGACACCAGCCTGGTTTGTATCCTGCCTCTGCCTAGGGTCCTGGGGGAGTCCACAGGCCTGTCCGAAGGAGGTCATTCTGGGTCATCATATTGTAGGATTCCAGGCTTCTCCCAGCAGAACACTCAGGCATCTGCACTGAGGGCCATATCCTAGCATTCCTGGACCGCTTTCGTCATTGTCGTCAGCCCTAAACTCCAAGGTAGCCTCAGGAAGGACACAATGAAAAACTGCCCTGTGCTTCCTCATCCATGTGACCGGTTGTGGATCCGACTATTGTGACCAGCAGGGTTTTCAGTGGCTGAGTCTAGGAAGATAGTTGGGCCTTGCTAGTCTGTCTCTGTGGAAGCTGTGGTAAATCCTGTTCAGCATCATAGTGACATGCAGACATGCAGACCTTCACTGACAGACGCGTGGTGGCACACAGGAGTTGCTTTGGCTGGGATTAAAGTCTGGTCTACATGGAAGACGAGAATTCCCCCACTGCTCCACCCCCCATGAGTAAAAATTAAATATATCTATTATGACACCTTAAGGAGCTCTGGTAGCGTAGTGGTTACGAATCGGGCTGCGAACCTTAAGGTCAGCAGTTTGAAACTACCAGCTGTTCTGTGGGAGAAAGATGAGGCTTTCTTCTCCTGTAAAGATTTACAGCCTCGGAAACCCTGTACAGGGTCGCTATGAGTCCATACCAACTCCACAGCACATATCCACCACCACATTATGATTCCTTGGTGTAAGTAAGACTGTTCAAGCTGAGTTATATATAATTTTTTTATTTTTTTTTTTGATTTTTAAAAGAAATTATGACATTTTTGTTGGCCCCTACAAATATCCTTGGAGTCCTGCTGGGGTACTGCAGGGTAAGCACTAGACTACAAGGCTCGCTATGAGTCAGAACTGACACAGCAGCACTTCGCAACAACAAGAAGTATCTTTGGAGTCCTATTGTGTCTCTGTAAGGTAAGCACTGGACTGCTAACCTCAGGGTTGGTGGTTAAATCCCACCAGCTGCTCCATGGGAACCCTATACAAGATCACAATGAGTTGGAACCAACTCAACAGCACTTTGACAACAACAAACCAAGTATTCTTGACCCCTGGGCACTGTGCCTGATGGAGAACAGGACCTGTCTGTGTGTGACCCGCCACTGGGCAGAGCTCACCAGGGCTCTGAGGTGCAGTTGAGATTTATATTAGGTAACGCTAATTTCTCAAGCGAAAAGCGAATACCTTTGTTAAGTATCTGAGCTTTGGAACAATGGCTTTTGTTCTCCCCAAATCTCTTTCTGTGGGTGCTAACTTCCAGGTAAGTGTGGCAGAAGCTGTGATCACGATGTCCCCTGGTTTTCTGGCTTTCGTCTCCCTGACTGCTCATGTTCTACTTTCCCTCCCCAGGAATACCATGGAGGCGCTGCCAGCCTGCCTGCTCCGGGACGTGACCCAGGAAGCGTTGGGGGTAGCTGTCATAGGCATTGACGAAGGGCAGTTTGTAAGTTGGCTTGTCCTAGTGTCACTCTGCCTACGGGTTCCCTCTCTGTCCTTCTTTCTCCTCTGCTACCTTGGACGTTAACAATTTTAGGTCTGTTTAAGAGTTACCCTTACACTTTTTCCCTTAAAGTATACAAGGTCAAATTCACTTCCTTTAATAAGTAGTGTTTGCAGTCTGCCTCCTGATTTCCATGTTAATTGTAAGGAATTTCTTTACCTTTTAAAAGACGTGTAATACTCATTTGCTGGTGTACAAAAATGATTCGACTTTTCAACACTAGTGTGTAGGGAGTGGTGTGTTTGGTTGGCTCATTGCTGCTTTTGCTTGTTCCTTCTGCGTTTGTTTTTCTTCTTGCTGAAGTATGCCCTTTAGTAGCTCTCGCAGTCAGGATGTATGATGAGAAGTGCTCCTTGTCTGTGTGTGTAAATGTCTTTATGTTGCCTTATAGTATCAGCTGGGTAGCTGACTGTCCTTTTTCCTTGATGCTTTGTAAAAATGTCAGAGCACATTGTTGCTAACTCTGTTGCTAATGGTTGCTAACCATTGTTGCTAATGGTTACTAACCATTGTTGCTAATGGTT